TCATGGTAACTGCTGAATGTACATGAATATTTGTGACATGAATGACACTGCATGAACATATGTAGTAGCTTTGATTATGAAGTGTGATACCTAAAGAATTTTTTTTTCTTACAGATAATCATAGGACACTTATAAGTTAATAAATTATCAGAGTAAATTCTAAAAAATTAAAGATTACTTTGTTTCCATAGCAGCTGTGGACAAATTGAATGTAATTGATGATGATATGGAGGAAATTATGAAATCTGAACCTGAACCTGTTTACATAGATGAGGTAGAGTCCTTCTTTTGTTTAATAGTTAAAGTATCAAGATTTTGAAAATATATTATCTTTGAGAATGCATGGAAATGGTAATTTTGTATTAACTAAAGTTAAACTCTTCTGACTGTTTAGTGTCTCTTGTTACTTTTTAGGAAAAGATGGATAGAGCCCTGCAGGTGCTCCAGAGTATAGATCCAGCAGATTCAAAACCAGATTCCCAAGAACTCTTGGATTTGGAAGGTATTTACTCAGTATTAAAGATCAATTGAATGCTATTCATTATTTTAGCTATTCGTGATGGCTTGAGCTTCTTCTACCTTGGGTTTGTTTGCTTTTTGAGAGAAGACAGCACTTGTGGGGAGCAGACTTACAGAGTAACTTAGTAAGAGTGTCACTTGGAAAGTATTGTCATAATGCATATACTTTTCAGGATGGAAGTCTTGGTATTTTTGTAAGCCACTAGTGAAGCTGCTTGGAGATTTGGAGGCCAAAAGCAGGGTAGAATTAGAAATAATAGCCTATATAGTAACTGAATCAGAACATTAAAAGTTCTTACTCTTAAGGGCCGGCCAAATAGCTCAGCAGATTAAAGCGCTTGCAAGCAGGCTCAGGCACCAGGGTTTGATCCCCAGGCCTGCCGTGCCAGCCCCGCTCCCCAGGGCGGGCTAAAATGGCAGTTAAGACTGGGCATGGTGGCATGCATCTGTAATCCCAGCACCTGGGAGGCTGTAAACAGGTGGATCACTACGAGTCCGATCTAGTAGTGAGACCCTGAACACCCTGTAGACCTGTCCCTAAATAGTACAAAAAAAAAAAAATTCTTACTCTTGTTTGATTCTCTTGAATCATGACTTTTTGAATGTCCACACTATACATACTAAATGTTAACCTTGTAATCACTTGATGCATGCTAATATATTAAGTCTCTTGAGAAATTTAAAGCAATTAAGATGCATACTTTGTTTTTTTAATTCTTGGTAAGAAAAATATCTGGTAAATGGATAAATTTTAATTCTTTTCATAGTAAAAAATCTAGTTATAAGCCAGGCATGGTGGTGCATGCCTATAATCTCAGCACTTAGAAGGCTGAGGCAGGAGGATCGTTGCGAGTTCAAGACCAGCCTGGGTTACAGAGTAAGCTCAAGGCCAACCTGAACTGTGTAGCAAGACCCTATCTTAAAAAGACAAAAAAAA